AATGTTTTTCATTATATATCAGTGATCAGTAAAATAGCATGGACGCTTTATGTATGGCAAGTTCCTGACGTAAATATGAAAAATTTACAATTATCTAGAATATGGAGCCGTAGATCTATGTTTATGTACTATGTTTATTACCACTGATCTGCCAAATTATTCTTGTCGCATATACAAAGTAGGCCTACTAATTATTGACACAGTGTTCAATTTACAAATATCTCCAGATTTGCTAATTAATTTGACTGGAGTCGCTTGCTTGTGCATTCGACTCGTTTTATGGCCTTATCTGTAATTATATAACATAAGTGACGTGTGCAATTTGAATAATTATAATTAGTATGTACCGCCAAATAATGCGGCACAGAATCCACCATAGATAAGAAATATGTATATAAGACGTTCAGAATTAATATCGGGAGTTCAGATTGAGAGACTGAGAGCGACCGCTGGGGAGAGCTAGGAGACGGGAGCGAGCCATGGGAGATGGTTTAGAAGTTGGAGACTTCACGTAGATGATGTACATAGTTAGAGAGCGTCAACAAATAAACGCAGATTGCGTTTTGAGCCCTTATAAAAGTTATTATTACATAGGTATGAAAAGATTTCATTACAACAGGTAAAAATTCCCTTCCATTAGTAGAGGTTCAGCTATTCAAATGATAAAGGGTTTTTATGAAAGCAACTAAGTGACTCTACAACACGCCCCAGGTATCAGCAAGAACATCTTATTTACACAGTTTGAATTCCTCTTCAGTACATCATATTTTATGTAGTGAAGACTCCATTCTGAGTGTCTTGGATTATTTCTACAAAGCAACTGTTGAAAGCATGTATTTTGTCCGTTATATCACTTTAGATTGTGTTTCCTGACGGGGTCGTATTCCTTTTATCCATTTACACAATCGACGCTGCCTCGGCTGCCTGGAATGGACGTAATGAAGTACATTAATTATATATGTTTTATCGATATTTATTATGCTTAAACAATTGAAAATTAAAAAACAACCGAGTTATGCGATTACGCGAATGAAAAAAGAAAAAAAAACGGAGGTGAACCAAGCGTCGATCTGTTTTCAAGGAAGTAAACAGATGAAATATTATTTTAATATTTAAAAATAGACACAGCTGTATTAACAAGAGATGGTAAATTACTACTTAGTTTTATATTCAATTCAATTTATTTCTGTACTGGTACAACAATACAATTGGTGCATTACCATTCTCTAATTTGTAATTGGATTGCCAGTTTGTGAATGAACGAGTATATATCTTTATATAACGAACAGATATACTAGTTAAGTTACTAATAAAATATTCAAGTTAGGCGGTGAGTCTAATTTTGAGATATATAATGAGATTCATAATGACATGGACATATATGTGTGGGATAATTAAGGAGCTGTGACATACTGCGCCACTTTTAAGCTGGGCCACCATATCTGTGGGAGTGGGGACGTTCTTAGCGGTAAATGAGGTACTGCTGCCAGGCTGTCTCCGAACGCAGGTTTCATCGCTAGCCCAACCTTCCACGAAACCTGCAGGAAAGGTGTTTAAACTTTAAACTTTAAATCAGCTGATTATACAAATTACACTTATATATGGTGAACTTGCATTTTATAAAATTAAACACACATTGAATGTAAGCTTGTTACCTTCGNTTTAAATCTCTTAAACAAAATTACTTTTAGGTGCAAAAATAGTTTATTTGGACTCACCGCTTAATTAAAACTTTTTAACGGCCGACACTTCCTTAGCATTGTAGGCTACGGTCACTTTACAAGTGTATGTGACCAATTTTTTTACCTCGCAGTTACTTTTTCATAAATTGACGGGGGGCCAACTTACCCCGGGGTCCAACTAGCCCCGGTCTCCCCTAAAGCTGACACGAACCATGGGATTGCGGATTGCGTTTTGCGGGTTATAAAAAGATTTCATTATATAAGTTATAAAAATTTCATTACACCATGTGGCGCAGCTCGTCGCCGAGGAGAAAAAGCTCGCTTACATTTGTAGCGAATTAGCCCTGATTGATGTTGGACAGACATGTTTAAAGACCAGGTTAAAAGTTAATGATTTTGACTATGTAAAATGTTTTATAAAAGATGTTTATGATTAATCACTTGTATCGTCAAGTATGGGCTCATCAATTTGGCATATTCTGGTATTCTCTTATTCTGAGCCAGTTCAGTAAACTGTTTCAGTTAAAGGGATAACAAATGTTCGTTTTGGCAAAAAATGGATTTCCTAGGGTAAAGGACAATTTTTTCATACTTACCAATGGTTAATGAATCCAAACCCATATTCAAAGTTAGACGTCCCTGTTTTCCTTTTTTTCTTTTTTTTTTCCTAAAAAGTTTGGATATCTGTAATATTCTCCTTAAGAGATTATTACAGAATGTAGCCATCTATGGAGGTTACGTGATGTGAAAGCAAACACAAATTCCAGAATAATTGCGTTAACCACCGTTTTTGGTGGTAAAATGGAATTCATTATATTTCTATAAGCTGTTTGCAATCCATTTATTGTGAAATATGGATAACTCACGAACAGTTGTTATCCCTTTAATTCCTCATTTGTGAACTTAAATTCATTTCAAAGAGCCAAGGCAATTTTGTTTGTTAATGCATTTTTAGCTGATGACTGACAGCCAAAATTCCTTTTCATAATTAAATTATTATGAGACATACTTTCCAAACTTCAAGACATCAAAAATATACTGGAAAGACCAGAAATACCAGCATCAAGCAGGGTTACTGGTGGATATGTTGTAGGTGGATATGTGAACTGATGTGTAAAGAATCACAATTCAGGATTTTTTGTATAATTAATTATGAATGAATAAATTATTTCAAAAATCAAAATTCAGGAAAAAAAGGTTTTAATGATGAACAGAAAATAAAAGTTATCTAAAAAATGAAGAACTATGGACGACTGGAAACCCCACTCAACAATGCGCCTTTTATGCAAAACAAGTAAAGGCTATTTTCATTCTAAAGAATGAAAGATGATATTGACAAGACGATTATGGTAAATACAATTTGTATAAAGTAAAAGTTTGAAAATGTTTTTGCTTTCTCTTTTTTTTTTACTTGGAATTAATATCTCGTGACTTTGTGACGCATTGGTCTCGATGCCCGTTTGAAATCGGTGGCGAATTAATAATAAAAATGAATATGAATAGTTAAATTGATCATGATCACAGACTGATAAATTAACTAAATGTAATCAAACGAGAGCAACCCTTCACTTACTTGCATGACGAAGTTGTTGTCTTTGTTGCTGTTACGTGAGGTAGTAAATACAACTCTGTTATATTCTTTCATATTATTTATTAACAACTTTCCAGTTGGTTCCCGCGCCGCTTTCTTTTCTTTTCTATCTCTACCTCATGCGGCCTTCTCCCGTTTACATTACACGCAGTCTTATAAGTATCATAAGAGCATTGCAATCAATTCATTTACTTTACAAAACACTATATATAATTGAAATATACATTTAAATAATTCTTCTTAAGTTCTCCATTTTAATCATAAAGTCATACATTTCACAAAACATAGGATCAGAAAAGTTACCAACAATGCTTTGATACCTGTGGAGTCTGTAGTTCTTTTTCTACGTGCCCTAGATGCAAATTTACCCATTGGAGTTGAAGGAGTTGTTTACAAAAACAAATTAACAAAAAATATCACATTTGTCCTTTGAGTGTGCGAGGGTTTTAGAAGTTTCTAACCATAATATGACCCCCCTGTATAAATACTGCAAAGTATCCTTTTCTCGTAAGAAAAAGAACAAAGTTAAGATGTTTTTCAAGTTTGTCCTTAGATACAAAAATTACCGAAAGTTCAACCGATACAGGAAACTCAGGAAAATCTACACTGCCTTAGACAGAGACTGAAACAAGAAAGAAAACATTCCCCGCTCCTTTTTCACTAGTGCCTTCCAATTACTAACATTACACTTGGTAAGTGTAACGATATGACTGTGTATGATTTTGATACAAGCGAATTTACGTTTGAATGATTTTTCCCATTGTGACGTATTTAACGCTAGTCATAAATAGAAAGTCGACTTTTCATTACTTTTTGAATGGCCTGTCTAAATGGTTTTGTTTTGGGTGGTCTATAGGTCAGCTGTCACAGATATTTTACGACGCCGTTATGGAATTTCTTGAAGTTGCCGAATGGTTTGAACTCATAATAAGAAATGTAGAACTTTGAAATCATCAACACTATTGTTGCCTTATCCACAGCAGTACATTCATAATTTTGTTCAAACAAACTTAAATTGTTTGCGAAAAATAAATCCTGGACCAACTTTCCGTCTACCAATAAGCATTGCAGTTGCTGAGAAATATTATTTTGATTTTATGATTTTCAAATGTTTTAGCACCGTATCAGAGTAATAATAATAATAATATGTGTGTGTGTGTGTGTGTGTGTGTGTGTGTGTGGTGAAATTCCAAAGGTTCGTTAGTCCAAAGCCCATTCGTACAAAAATCCGTGGTAGTAGATTTTATACCTCTCCCCACGCACAAATAAGAAATAAATTAATTCAAAGGATTTATTGCTTTGTAAAGCGCAACTCTCAATGACTGAACAAAGCCTAATGAGAAAAATTCACAAATAGATAAATAAATTGGTGAAATATGAAAAACAAAATGATTATAAACCATATAATATATTTGGGTGATTTTACTTCGTTTTTTTAACTTACAGCATAATCAATACATAATATGATAACACAAGTCTGAATGCAAACAAACAATGAGTGTGCATTTTTTTGTGTATTATTTTATAACGTTACTTACATAAAATTAGCATGCAGATATTACTGGCACAGTGTATCCTGTCACATGTATACTGAATATAGTCCAGTATCCGATCTGTATCTTGACATGGCTGATATGAATGCCTTATACTTTCAGGTAAAAGATAATAATATTATTCATTATATCGGAAAAATGTTATGTCGGGTTTGTTATGATTTTCAAAGTTTTTCATCGTACCTTAGATTTGGCTTTAGAATCAGCATCGAAAGGCGTCCACTCTTTTATCAACTCGGTGTTAAATGTATTTCCTTTTAATTGTTTCATGGCAAACATGCGTTTGTAGATTCTCCTAGTAAAGGGTAGTTCTGGCGTCGCCATGAGGACGCAGTTGGTGTCGTTGGCCATCTCTGGAATCAGTCTGTACCCAAGAACCATAGTCTCATAGGGCCTGAACTCTTTATCAGTCATATTGCTGTAAGATACACGTTCACTTATACATCGTATTTCCCACGCCTTCTTGACAGCGTTAAATTCCTTTAGCTCCTTCTGCATTCTTTCTTCACCAAATGTGTGAACTTTTCTCCAAAATGTTTTATTAAAATGCTCGTAAAGTTTCAAATCTCCAGCATGGATTTTCTTGATATTTTGTATCGTTTTCAAACTCATGATCTCCGTTTTGCCGCCAGTTTTCTTGCGCATGTTTTGTGCGAAGTACGCTATATCTTGAAACGACCAGCCAAGTAGGTCTCTAAGTAATATCAATGACTCGTCAAAATATTCTGCTATCATAACTAATGAAAACACTTCATCTACTTCCAAAATTTTTTCATACACTTTGGACTGATTTAATGACTCTATTGGATGCAGTCCTAAGTCGAACAACATTGAATTTGGAAACGGCTGAGAGACCCCGTTGACATACCCGTACCTGGAGTAGTATTTCTGAGGAGCCTCTAAGAAAGTCTCCATGTCTATGTGCAGTCTCTTAGAAATTTTCATATAGACAAACCAGGATTCTGTCAGCTTTATTGGATGTCGTAATATAGATATAAAGACCGTCCTTTTTGGTACAACGTCCATGAGTGCCCTGCTGTACCGAGTATGGTGACACAAAATATTAAATTTCCCCGTCACACTGGGCAAT